AATCCTGCAACCCCTACTCATTTCACTTCCAGTAATCTTGTCTAAAAAGATTACCAAACACTAACTTCAATTCACTAACTTCAACTTAAAGGACTTTCTTCAGGGCCACCTGGATGGCTCAGTCAGTTAAGTGTCTGACTTCGGCTCAGGTCATGATCTTGTGCTTTGTGAGTTGGAGCCCTACACGGGGCTCTCTGCTTTCAGTGCAGAGCCTGCTTTGAACCCTCTGTCTCCCTCTCTCTCTCTCTCTGTCCCTCCCTCGCACACGGGCTCTCTCTCTCTCAAAAACAAATAAACATATAAACAAAGAAAGGACTGTCTTCAATGCATATGTGCTTTCGCTCTCTCAAAACTAAATAAATATACACTCGAAGGCCTGGAATGACCAACAGATACGCAAATTTCCTTCTTCTGGCCCCTATGTCTCTTCAAACATTGCTGTAACTATTTGCAAGGTGTGTCACTTCCGCTCTACCACACCTACCACCATGCCTGGCCAGAAAAGGCACAAGAATAAATGCCTACTAGTGAAGAGCGAAAGGAAATGACCATTTCGAAAATGATGGGAGAGACTCCGTAGAAGGATTTGCTTCCAAATCCAGGATATGGGGGGTTGGGGGGAAGTGCTTACATTCCAGAGAGCTGAGAGATCACCTTGCTTTGAAAACAGTCCACCCAGTAAGCTACCTGAAGTTCTGGATATAGGTATAATCCTCTTCTCTCTGCACCAGATGTGATTTCACTATTGTATCTCGCAGTCCGAACTTCTGAATTGATAAAATATGAGCCTTGTCTGATACTGTGATAGTGGAGGAGCGAACCATGTTAATGATGTCAGACTTGGATTTATTCTGTCTAGAAAAACAAAGAAACAGAAATTTATCATATTCCGATGAGTCTCCCCATGACAAAATACATGAACATAAAGCTAGAAGTTTCCAAAGTTAAATGCATTTACTAAGACAACACTATTTCTATGTGCAATTAAATAAACTTACATGTTGTCAACCATATAGCACATTGGTCCAGAGATTTTCTGATAGAGATCTCAGATCGGGGGGGACCTTGAAGACATACTGATCTAATCCCTTCCTTTTTCAAATAAGAAAAATGAGACCTAGCATCATCAATGGTCCACCCAGTTGGATGGTCGCAGAGTATGGATTAGAACCCAGATTTGACGGTGCTCTTTCTAGACCCTAATGCTTCATGTAAAGAAACTATAAAACTATCCAGATCCTTTGACTTGACAATTCTACTGTATCTCTATTCCACAGGAATAATCAGAAATAAGAGGAGAACAAGAAAATCTGTATTTCATTTTTATTTGTACAGTTTTAACAGTCATACTAAAAATTATTCAAATGCCAACATTTAAAGTTAAGCAAAATAGAGGCGCCTGGGTGGCTCAGTCAGTTAAGCATCTGACTTCAGCTCAGGTCATGATCTCACAGTTCGTGAGTTCGAGCCCCATGTCAGACTCTAAGCTGTCAGCACAGAGCCCAGAGCCTACTTCGGATTCTGTGTCTCCTCTCTCTGCCCCTCCCCCACTTGCACGCACGCGCGCTCTCTCTCTCTCTCTCTCTCAAAAATAAACAAACATCAAAAAAAATTTTAAGTTAAGCAAAATTTGGTACATTTATCTAACATAATCCTAATAACAGCACAGAAACTTTTGTTGATGATTACTTAATGAATTAAGATATATGAAGCACCCACAACAACTTCTGACACTGAATAAATAGCTACAAGTATCTGGTATTGTATCAAGTACATACTAATTATAAGTGAGCTGAGAATGACAGATCTACCTATCATTTAAAATTCAGGGATTCCAGGAGTACCTGGCTGGCTCAGTCAGTGGAGTGCACCACTCTTGATCTTGGAGTCGTGAGTTCAAGCCCCACGTTGGGTATAGAGATTACTTAAAAAAAAAAATAAAACTCAAACAAAAATAAATAAAGTTCAGGGATTGTTGGCTACTGCTTCAGTGCATAATTAAAATACTGACCAAAACAAGTTTTTAATCTACCTTGACCAGATGAGATTCCGGCTACAATCAGTAGGGGGCACTGGTGTACAGGCTAAATATAATATCATGTCAGAAAAAAAGAAGAGAACATAAAAGTGGAAAAAAAGTATCTTCAGAGTCCGGAAACTCCTAAAAGAATGGGAAGGAGAAATAAAAATGTTTCTAATCTTCTACATTTCTAAGGTAGGGTTATACTGCCACTTTCAAACTCTAGATGGGCTACTTGCTAGGTCTGGATCTTGGGAACATTCTATAAAGTCTCTTCTTCACCTGTTTCTGTAGTTGTAAAACAGAGAAAATAATGGAACCTAAGTCTTAGGCTAAAATAAGATAATCCAGGTAAAAGCACAGTGCAGGGCACACACAGTAAATGCTCAGGAAGTGTCCAACCCCTTGTTAACCACTTAACCACTGGTTAAGCCAGCCACCCTGGGACAACTTACATCATGCACAGTAATGGTCTCAGTTCTATAATGAGGAAAATTGTGGCCCTAAGAGACACAAATGAAGGGAGAGTGCATTACCTTGTGAGCAAGTTGTCTGCTGTATCCTGACCCCAAGAGCTTTGGTCCACAAGCATGCCTTTCCCATCTGACCTTGAATCATCAAAGTCAAAAACACCTAAGGGGAGGGGGAGGGAATGAAAACACACTTGAGGGAATGAAAACACACTTACATATACTTTAATATACAGACCCCCCACTTCTCAAATTGTAGTCTAGGAATCACTGGTTGTCCACATACTTCTTGAAAGCATAGGAAAGGTCTGTGCTGGTGTCTGAGTGAAGCTCCCAGAGCACAGAGGGAGGGAGAAAAAACAAGCATTTCATCCAGAGATCTTTACTTCTGAAAACATAAATATCCCACTGGTCTGACTCCCTTTTCCTGGAGACAAGAGTGCATTACAGAAAGAATAAAACTTTGAAATCTGCAGACCTAAGCTCCACCACCAGCTCTACTATTTACTGACCTCTTGACTTTGGGCAAGGCTTCAATCTCTCTTAATGTCAGTGACTTGACCTACCCTGCCCTTCTCACAGGTTTACTGTAGGGATCAAATAGTTGACATGTAAGAACTTTGGAAGCCACACAGCATATTATGAAATATAAGATAGTGATATCACTCCATTTACTCCAAGGGGAACATCAAGGAGGAAAGAGGCAAGGGTCAGAGATCTAACACTGGAAAGGGTCTAAGTGCTCTAGAGAATGGGAAGCACTTGTCATTGTTAACAAATTGCCTCAAAACCAAACAGCAAACCAAGGACTTTCAATAAATAAATACTTTGACACAGTTGTTAAACCAAGATAAACCTGAAAAGGAAAATTAATCTGCCAACAGTTTCTTGGCTCCTTAAAAGCCCAATCGGTGGGATGCCTGTGTGGCCTGTGTCGGTTAAGTGTCAGACTCTTGATCTCAGCTCAGGTGTTGTTCTCAGGGTCGTGAGTTCAAGCCCCAGGCTGGGCTCCACGCTGGGTGTGGAGCCTACTTAGAAAATAAATAAGTAAAAAGCCAAATCTCTTGTCAACAGAAAACAGCAATGGAGAAGCCATGGAAAGATGCTGCTTCAACACACAAGTTACCAGGAGCACTGGAGGGATGAAACATCACGAAAGAATTTTGCCCTGAAGACTATTACTAAACATGGATTTTCAACCATGCATTCACAGGAACCAGAAAAAAACAAACTTCAGCGTCGAAAACACACACATACACACACACACAATTTGAAACACGAAAATAATTACATTTCAGTACCTCCAATCAATTCCTAAGGCCTTTCAATGTTGCCTCCTAAAGGCCTCTCAAATCAATATATTCCAATGTCACCCTACTAGCTCGATGTTACCAGCATCTCCCTGGAATGACTTCAAAAACCTGATTAATAGTCTCCTGGCCTCCTTTCTCACCCCTCCATCTCTGACCCAAACTCTACACTGTGGCAAGAGGATTTTTTTTTTTTTTTTAAAGGAAGGCTAATCACATCACTTAAAATCTTTTAAAAGCTTCCCATTGGATAAACCCAACCCTCCCAATATGGCTGCCAAGTCTCCTTCTGGTCTGATTCCTGCCCACCTGTCCACCTGCATCTTTCACCACAGTCCTCTGGCTCCCTGCCCCCTGGACTGCCACAGTCTAAGTATATTAAAGTTACTGCAGTTATACCATGATCCCATCAGAAACCCACTTCCTTCTTCCTCATTCTGCTTTACACGGCTTACTCCTACCCATCCTGGGGCCAGGGACTGGCAAACTTTTCTGCAAAGGGCAGAGTGTAAATGGCCGAGGATCTGCAGGCTGTACAGTCTCCATCACAACTATTCGACCCTGCTGGCATAAGGTAAAAGGAGCCATAAGCAGGGCTTTGTTCCAATAAAACTTTATTTATAGACATCGAAATCTGAGGATTATATAATTTTTAAATGTCACAAAAAATTATTCTCTTCTAATTCTTTTCAGACATTTAAAACTATAAAAACTATTCTTAGCTCACAGGCTGTACAAAGCAGGCAGTGAGCTGGATTGGGCCCATGGCCTGTACTTAGCCAAGCCCTGCTATGGACCACATCTCCAAGGTCACTTTTTTTTTTTTTTTTAACGTTTATTTATTATTGAGAGACAGAGAGAGACAGAGAGTGAGCCGGGGAGGGGCAGAAAGAGAGGGAGCCGAGGTCACTTCTTCTAAGATGCCACCATCTCTGACTCCTAGATAAGGTCAGATGCCCTTCCACTGGTGTTCCCACAGCTCCCCGTACGTCTTTCATTATAGCCTAAATTGCTGTGTATTATAACTGTTTCTCCCCTGGTTAGACTGTGAGCTTACTGGGGACACAACTATGTCTGATTTATTCATCATTGCATCCCCATCATCCAACATACCAGCCAGCAGTTCAATCACTCAACAATTCAAAAGAAAATACTGGGTGAATATGGATCCCTTATGTGTCTTATATAAATACGTAACATCTAAGCTCAAGTCTGTAGTGTTCTTTTGGAATGTTTCGGGTCATCTTCCCATTGTGTTCGGCATACAACAAAAGTAAGAAAGGAAACTACAACAGGTTGTTTCTAGACTTCTATGACCCCATGGTTAGCTAGTTATCTCTGAGACCCAAATTCCCCACTGTATCCTACCTCTCTTGCTTTACTCTCATTAAACTCTAAAGCTTAGACAGCCAAGGTACTTGACTTAGTGAATGGCATACGGGGACACCTATTAGAATGGTTGAAAACCAAAAAGCTGACTCTACCAATTGCTGGCAAGGATGTGGAGCAAGAGGAACTCTCATGCACTGGTTGTGGGAATGGAAAAAGGTACAGCCACTCTGCAAGCAGCTTGGTAGTTTCTTACGAAGCTAAACGTAGCCTCAACCATATGATCCAGCAATCCCACTCCTAGATACTTATGATTTGAAGTTTTATGTCCATATAAAAACCTGCACATAAATGTTTACGGCAGCTTTATTCATACTCATCAAAAGCTGAAAGCAACCAAGATGTCCTTCAATAGGTGACTGGATAAACAAACTATGGTACTCGCATAATGAAATATTATTCGGCAATAAAAAATAAGGGGTCACCAAATCACCAAAAGACATGAATGAGTCTTAAACACATATTGCTAAGTGAAAGAAGCCATTCTGAAAAGGTTACACACTGTAGGATTCCACTTATATCACATCACGGTTAAGGCAAAACTCTAGAGATGGTAAATAGATCAGTGGTCGCCAAGTGTTCAGTGGGTGCATAAGGATTCAGTGAGGGAAGCACAGGGGACTTTTTGGGTCAATGAAACTATTCTGTAAGAAACTGTGATGATGGATACATGACACTATCTATAGGCTTCAAAACTCCTAGAACTATAGCACAAAGAGTGAACTTTAATGTATGCAAATTTAAAAAATCATTTTGGAGGTCAGGGGATCCTGGAGTAAAATACAGAAAATGACAAAGTATCTAACTATATTACAAATGTATGAACAGCCTCAATGAAGTGGACAGAAGAAAAAAGTGCTGACCTAAGTAACTTTGGAAATTAGTGGAACCTGTAAGACTAAAGGCAAAATCAACTGTATGCAAGCACTATACTCTAGCTGAAAGGCTGTTTCCCACGGGGATATGGGTTAACAATTGTGAAGTCACTATACCTGGATCCTGGAATTTAACACTTAAGAAGACAGACAGAGGAGGGGTGCCTGGGTGGCTTAGCTGGTTGAGCATCCAACTCTTGATTTTGGCTCAGGTCATGATCTCACAGTTTGTGGGTTTAAGCCCCGCCATGCTGACACTGCAGGGCCTGCTTGGGAATTTCTCTCTCTCTCTCTCTCTCTCTCTCTCTCTCTCTCTCTCTCTCTCTCTCAAAATAAATAAATAAACTTTAAAAAGAAGAAAAAAAAGAAAGAAAACGGGTAGTGGATTGCAGGAGTTGGGTGTCTCATTGTAGGGGTAAAGAGGTTCCAGATAAACCTGGAAGGGGAAGAGACTAGAATGATCCATGTGGTACTGGATTAGAGCTGGAGATAGCAGCATGAGTTCATGTTTACCTAACATAGATCCATATGGTTACATGCAGAAATACAGAGGCACACACGTGTAAGTATACACACATACATTTCCTTGCTCCGTCAGCTAAGAGGGCCTAGAAGCAAGGACCCACCAGTAGCAAGGACCACTCTTTAATACCCAGATCCTGGTTTCTAATACCATTTATTCGCCAATAAAAGGAACCGAGGCTCCTTGAGATACGGTTATCTTAGGTCTGGGGTAGGAAATATACAAGATGGAGCATTTTGTAGTGCCAGAAAACAAGAAAGCACTCAAAAAACAAAACAAAACAAAACAGGGGCACCTGGGTGGCTCAGTGAGTTAAGCGTCTGACTTCGGCACAGGTCATGATCTCACAGTTCATGGGTTCGAGCCCCACGTCAGCTCTCTGTCCGTGGGGAGCCTGATTTGTAACCTCTGTCTCTCTCCTTCTCTC